AAAAATGAGAAAGCAGTCTCAAAATGGAGTCACTTGTGCTAAATTCCACACTAGCTAAAAAAGATTTAATACCTAATCTAATTGTAGTTTCAACCTCCCAGGAATAACCTTTAACCAGACAACATGGAATTGTCTGGTAAGCATAATGAGATAATCCTCTTGATAGACCCCTTTTGATCTCTTTAGGAAGGCTACCTTGCCTGAAACAATGCATTCTTTGCCAATAATTTTCTTTTCCTATCCTCTTTCCACCTTTAAAAACTTTTCATTTTCTACAGCTCATTGGAGCTCCTTGCTAGATGTGATGCTGCCCGATTCATGAATCACTGAATAAAATCAATTTGATCTTTAAATTTACTCAGTTAAATGTTTGCTATTTATCACAGAAAAGAAAACAAACCTTAAGTGTACAGCTCGATAAATATTTACAGAATTCACCTTTCAGGAGTAGGGTTGTGGGAGGTTCCCTCAGGCTACTTCCCAGGAAGGGTCCCTACCCTGAGCCCAGATGCACCACAGGGGCTTAAAGGCATCTTAAAAGTTTAGCAGTAAAGATCACTAACATTTCCCTTTTTCCCTCTATTGTCTTCTTTTTTTTTAATAAACTTTTTTATTTTGGAATAATTTTATCTTTTTTTTTAAAGATTTTATTTATTTATTTGATATAGAGAGAGCACAAGTAGGCAGAGCAGCAGGCAGAGGGAGAGGAGAAGCAGGCTCCACGCTGAGCAGGCAGCCGGATGGAGGGCTCCATCCCAGGACCCTGGGATCAGGACCTAAGGCAGACGCTTAACTGACTGAGCCACCTAGGTGCCCCTGGAATAATTTTAAATCTGCGGAAAAGTTAGTATACTTTTCATTCAGTTTCCCATAATGTTTACATCTTACATAATCATGGTGCAATTATCAAAACTAAAAATTACTAGTAATTATTATTATTATTATTTAAAATTTTTTTACTTATTTTATTTTTTCCAGCATGACTGAGATACAGTTTTCTTTTTTTTTTAATTTTATTATGTTATGTTAGTCACCATACAATACGTCATTGGTTTTTGATGTGGTGATCCACAATCCATTGTTTTCATATAACACCCAGTGCTCCATGCAGTACGTGCCCTCCTTAATACCCATCACTGGGCTAACCAATCCCCCC